ATAATAATAATAATAATAATAATAATAATAATAATAATAATAATAATAATAATAATAATGGTCAATTGTGTTTTATTAAAAGAAGTGGGAAACAATCTTATTTGCCTTAAAGCAGACATAGGGCCCAGCCAGCTGAAGCAACACTGACTGAATGTTTGTCGTTAGCCCTGACTCAAACCCTCTAAAAATAAGAAAAAACTTGTACACTATCACGGAATCTAAAATTTTGACTAATACATAAAAAAACTGCCTAAGGGGTTATTTTCAAACACGTCTGTCATGAAACTACAATTTTGTTTTATGCTGGCCCATTAACACCAATTGCATTTTAATTGCAGATAAAATCATAATAACAAATACTAACAAGTAATGCTCTGCTCTTCGTGCACTTGAAATCATATACCTGATATTCTCATTGCACTATTTTCCGCCTTCTAAAGATCTGCCATATTTTCTGCAGTGGTTTTCCAGTGGTTGTCTGAGCCACAAAGCTGTGGGTTTTCCTCCACAAAACAGCGAAATACGCAAACATGCAGAGTCTTGGTGGTTGTTCACTTCAGCTTCCAAATTTTCAGCCACATTCTTCTTGATTCCTCCTCTGTAGGTAAGCGATGGAAATTACACCGCTTTTCACAGGAACCTTTTTGAGAGGGTCCTTGTTCAAAACACTACTGTTGTTGCCATTGATTCAGCTTGGTCCGGTTGTTCGTTCAGCCGAAGCCAAACAGCACAACAGGTTCCTGAACTCCACAAGGTTGTTTGTAAATGCTACTACGACTGTTATGTAAACAAAACAGAACAGAGTTTCTTCTGGTAATCTGAACACAAATTACTCTCATATGAACTGCAATCCATGGTCCGCTACCTACCTTTAAACTTATAGCTCTAGTTTAGGTGTTTAACAGGAAGTCATTCCCATAAACATTTCTASAGTACTACCCCCAGGTATAGGTGGATAAARTAGGTTTTTCTTGTAAAAGAGGATAAACCAACATTAAGACCAGAGATCTGTCTATGAGAGAAAAGCAAGCCATTTTGAGGCTGAGAAAAGAAGAAGAATCAATCAGAGCCATTGGACAAACATTGGATATACTGAACCGCACATGTTCAACAGGTCAGCCAAGGAAAACAACAGCAGTTGATGACAGAAATTTTGTGAGAGCTGTGAAGAAAAAAAAACCAAACATCAGTAGTAGGTGACATCAACAATGACCTCCTCAGTTCAGGGGTGAAGGTATCACAGTCCACTGTTGGAAGAAGACTCAGAGCAGAAATATAGAGGCCATACAGAAAAATGTAAACCACTCATCAGTAATAAGAATCAGAAGGTAAGAAAGAAATTTGTAAAAAAGTACAGAGATGAGCCGCAAAAGTTCTTTTTTTTTTTTGCCACTTCAGTAGAAAGTAGAAATGAATATCTGAATATTAGTATCTTAGCTTCTTCATCATCAGTGGGTTTTTCTATTTCTTGGCTGTACACCTACAGAAACAGAGATAAAAACACAACAACAAAAATGCATATCTATGATTATGTTGATTATAGCCTTGCAGAAAGTTGTGTGTGTGTATATATCCACATATTCAATCAGTGTCTGATCAGAAAACCCAGGATGTAAACAAAAGTTCTGGAAGACAATCTTATGGACTGATGAGACCAAGATTAATCACTACCAAAGAGATGGAAAGGCCAAAGCGTGGAGAAAATGGTAAATGGACTGAACTTATACAGTGCTTTATCAAGTTCCTCTGGACCCCAAAGCCCTTTACACTTATGGACATTCACCCATTCACACACAGATGATGGTAAACTACATTGTAGCCACAGCTGCCCTGGGGCACAGTGACAGAAGTGGGGCTGCCATGCACCGGCACCACCGGACCCTCTGACCACAATCAGTAGGCAAGGTGGGTGAAGTATCTTGCCCAAGGACACAATGACTGAAACGGCAGGACGGGATATCGAACCGGTGACCTTCCAGTTCCAGGACGGCTCCCCTAACCACTCGACCACAGCCGCCCCAGAGAAAGAAAGGAACTGCCAATGATCTGAAGCACACAGGCTCATCTGTGAAGCATGGTGCAGGTAATGTCATGGCTGATTCTGGAACAGGCTCATTAATATTTATTGATGATGTCACTGGTGATGGTAGCAGCAGAATGAATGCAAAAGTGTACAGAAACATTTTGTCTTCCAAATTACAGAGAAATGTATCCAAACTAATCAGGAGGAATTTTATCATGCAGCAGAAAAATGAGCTGAAGCACACTGACAACAAAACTAAGGACCTCATCGGGGGAAACAATTGGAACGTTTTAAATTATAGTAGAGCACCCCTGCATCTACTGACCCCTTCAGATGGGATCTGTCTGTAAAACAGTAAATATGATTGGTAGACATGTCCACCGGAGAGAGGTTAATCCAGGCAGACTTATCTACAATCTCTGTCTTCAAACTTGGTTCAAAATAATATTTTTTGACCATTCTGTCTCCAGGTCCAACAGCAGCAGCTGCCCACTCCCAGATTCTGGTGTGCTGTGCTGTGAGTCAGATAGTTTGTTCCACCTACCAGACTGGTGCAACCTTACTGCACTGACAAAGAAAACTTTAAAGTACCTTGGTTGGAGTCCTAAATGGGCACAACTTGCTCAATTGCCATAAAATGTTGATGGTATTCCATGAAAATGGTCTGTGCGATGCCTATGGCATTGAATTAGAGACCTCTTTGCACTACTTGGGGCAATGCTTGGCCCTGAGCAGTCGAAGGGAAATAATTCTTGGAGAATCTTTTATGGATCCTGAGAAGCTCAGAAGATTGAGTGTTTCTAACCTGGTGTCCTTCTTCCGAGGGACGTGAAGGTTTGATTAAAAGCTCAGTGTCTCTTTTGGGGAGAGTCATAGGCCCACTTATGAGGCCCCCGCTCACATGGGTTTTACCCTTCCCCATAACCATAACCACCATACTGCACTGTATGAGGCCTCCCCTAAGATATGTAAATCTAGTGGAGTCAGGTCCAGTATGACTTCAAGGGCTGCCGCTGCCGTGGGTGTTGTTCTGATGGAACCTGTGATATTCAGGCAGGCCATGTTGCACATGAGTGAGCATCACTCTTGCCACCCCAACTTGAACTCAAACCCATCGTACTCATACTAAAGCAGCATATCATATTGTCCATGTGCCAGACTGAGCTTTATTTGCAAAAAACTTCATGTAAGGCTGTTTCTGTAGCAACACCTTTTTATAACTTAAATGTGATAGCATCAAAATACCATCCCTTAAATGTCGATCTACCAAACTCTCCATTCCCTTCAGTAAGAAAGATGTTAAGCTGATGGGTCTGAGAGATTTTGCTTCTCTATWTGTTGGCTTTCCAAGTTTGGGCAGAAAGACAACCTTTGCTGTCCTCTGATACATACTAGACAAGCAACATATATTCTAGTTATTGTGTCCAGAAGCAATTCTAGTCCTCTTTGGAGAAGAGCTGGAAAATACCATCTGGACCACAAGCTTTAACAGGGTCAAACATTTTAATTGCATTTTACTTTGTGATAATACTTGCAGCTCTGTTCCAGTTGTCCTCTGTTGGATTTGAGTTAGCAACTGTGACAGGATGTAAAGTATCTTCTGCCCTAGGAAAGTGTGCCTGGAGAAGACACTGAAGCACACTTGACTGTGTGACTGGCAATCCTTCTGGTGGAATAATAAAGGATCGATGGTTGATTGGAACTTTCGTGAGAAGTTTGTAGAGAAGAGGCACTAGGCCCTAATTTAACCTCTTCACAAAACTTTGTCCAAGAAAGTCTTATGGTGCGTTCACACCGAACGCGATTTCAGCGTCAGGAGCAGCAGGTTTACATACAAAGTCTATGGTGGACGCGCTTCAAGCAACGTCTGGAAGTTCTGCGGTGCCGCAAGCGCGATTAGAGCAGCGCGATTTGAACTATCGACGCGCTGAGGCGCAAATCGCTGAAGTTAGAAAATGTGAACTTTTGCAGCTCAACGCGTCGCGTCAACCAATCAGAGAGACTCCACTGTGTGACGTAGAGACATATTTCCTGATGGGACTGATGGGAATGATGTCCACTAACCTGAAACAGATGGAGAGGAGCTCTTTAGCTGAAATAGAGTGCCTGCAGACGGTGT